GCAGCAGCACACCAACGACAAAAAAAAAAAAAAAAAAAAAAAAAAAAAAAAAAAAAAAGGATTCTTTGCTCCCAACCCTGAAATGTTATTTAAAATGTGATTCTTGGGCCAAGGATTTAGCTTAAGGCAGGTTCCTCCACCTGCCTTGCAAGTGCAAGGTCCTGAGTTCCATCCCTGGTACCAATAAATAAAATAAAATAAAATGTTATTCTCATTTCACACTCATATCTAGTTGGCAGGCACTCCTAGTACATAACTGTCCAAATAATATTTATGAAGAATAAAGACAAAGACAAAAATAAACTGTAAGATACAGACTGAAGGAGATATGGCTTTATAGTAGTATGCAGGTTAAATACTTTAAAATATTTAGGGGTATTTTTGTTTTTAGTTGGGGATAACTTGACATGTATGAATAGCATAGGGTGGTAGAAAATACTAATATGAATTAATAATGGAAATATTGATGTGATATCAAGTTGAATTTTGAAATAGCATCCTTAGCAGAAACTTATACATCTCTAATCCTCCCTTTGTGCATGGATATGGGATTCAGTTCTAGGTGACACATCTTATGGGGCACTAGAGCATGTTTATTTATTTTGGTACCAGGAATCGAACTCAGGACCTTGCTCTTGCCAGGCAGGCCCAGTGCCACTGAGCTACATCCCCAGCCCAGGAGAGCTTGTTTACATAAGAGCTCAGAGAGGGGATGAATGGGTCATGAATAAAGGCTAGGTATAGCAAAGAACATACTGTGTTGTCCTCAAATACTTACAAGGCTCCAAAATTTACTACTAGATTCAGATTTACTGGGCACTCTAATATACATTTTTATATTTATAATATATATTATAATATGTTGATATAATTATTTGTAATACTACAGAATTTATATTTCATATTTATAATGGCATAAAGTACAATTATCACTATTTTTCCTTTTTAGAGTCGAGCAAACTTATAATTGGAGTGCTTTTGTTTTCCCAGGTTTACACAATTAGGAAACTGCAAAACCAGGATTTGACCACGTCACTCTGAATTTTAAACCCAGAGATGTTTCTACCAATACCATCCATAATGACCCACCAAATAGGTAAGGAGACACATTTTAGTCCAGCCTTAGGGTTGGCAGGACTGTTCAAAGATCAATACCCCTGTGAGTAGTTCATTCCCTATCACTTGGAGTTCAAGCAAATGCTGGACACCTGTTGTGCAAGGATCTGTTAGGCCTACTCCATAGTGTTCACCTCAATGGCAAAATACTAAATACAAATGCTAGTCATAGAGCCAAAGGAAACCCCTAGAGGGGGCCAAGTGAAATTAAAGTAACTGAGCTGAATTCTTTTCAGTGGTTACTGGAAGATAGAGCACCCTAACTATTCTCTGAATTTACAGTCTAATTTTTGTTGTTGTTCTTGTATCAGTTGCCCCTCAACTAATAACTGGGTAATACAAGGAGAAGCCACAGGGAATGGAAACAGGAGGGAAAGGGATGTTTTATGAAGTACTATAAAGGATTGTTTGGCATGCTCTTGCTTTATGAAAGATAAGCCAAGAATGTGAGTGATAATTGACAGGGTTTGCCATGATAAGCAAAGATTGCCCCACAGCAGAGAAAGAACAGAATACCAAGGGAGGTTAAAGAGGACTAGGATTATGGATTTTGTTCTATTTCAAAACTTGAACAAACAGGTAGAGAACCTGCTCGATGCTGAGCATTCTGCTATCTTCTGGGGAGTAAAAAAATGAGGTAGACAAAATCCTCGTTTCAAGGAACACACCGTGTAAGTAGAAAACACCACCCAAGAAAACAAGTGGGGGGAAAAGAAAGTGCTAAGGAATATCACAGAGACCAAAGGACTCTGAAAGCAGACAGGAGAGACTAATTCTGTCTAAGTGTGTGGGGTGAGGATGTGGGCTGTGAAGAATGGGACGTCAGGGAAGATGCAGAAGAGGAAGCAATGCACTGTCTTCATTGTCTTTAAGGATAGTAGGAGTTCACCTGGTTAAATGATGGATGGAGTTTAACCCAGACTCACAGCCTGTTGCATCTGTGTGCTATGTGGATAAGGTAGGTGTCCGAGGCTGAACTAAAGAGATGAAGGAATCAGATTATAAATGGCCTTGTATACCTCGGTGATGAGCTCGAGCAAGATTCAACCTCAGAGGTGGAGATTTCAGAGAGAAGGGCTGTGCTAGCCTGTTTTTAGAGCATTTTCAGGCAGGTCCATGGGAGCGAAGCAGAAGTGAAATTAGAAAGGCTTGGCTTAAAAAATGTCAAAGGAATTAGGAAGCAGAGACAGACTGTGAGTCATAGAATTAGGAGGAATAATTCATCCATGGGATTTAAGTGTATGTGTTGCCAAAGCAAGCACTCATCCATGGGATTTGAAACGAGAGAACTTCAACTTCAACGGAAAGATATTTGGGTGCCTGGTTGTTGTTGGAATGGCGAGACTTTATCAATGGAGACGGGTGATACTCAGTGGTAGAGTGGATACTACCGAAGGCCTGGGCTGCGTGCAGCCTTGTAGCCTTGTGGTCTTTCGTGGATTAGTTGATGACTCTTGTGAACTGAATTCAGGAAATGACCTAAAACGATTCGTGCAATCAAATGAGACGGAAGAGGGCTCAGAAGTCAGGACATTTGGAGAAAAATAACTAGGGCTAGTAAAGACGAGGAGGAGTCATGATCAGAGGTCCATGTGGACTAATTTTCCATCCAATGGAAAGCTCCTCAAAGTAGAATACAAGCCTCGAATGCAAGCATCCTCACCACACCCCTCGCCCTCCATCCGCCTCCATTCTTCAGCCACAGCACAGAGCCCCCACCCGGCGTCTCCTCGCTGGGGGACGTGGGAGGAATCCCCTCAGACAGCGGATGAGAATGGGAGGACTCCGAAGCCTTGGCGACCACGTCAGGAAGCTACACCCTTCGGGATGAGGCCAGGGGAGACAGACCACTCGCCAAGGTGTCAGGCAGCGGCCCTTCCCCAAGCCCACGCTTCCTGACCCGGCTCCCCGGCTCCCTCCCCAACCCACCCCGCGGTCCAGCAGCTCCGCAGCTCCG